GTAGTCGGGGACTGAGGACAGTGTCATGGTGAGGGACAGGGAAACCGAGGATAGAGTAGGATAGTGGCAAAGTGAATTCCTGCTCAATCGGGTCTAAATAAGCCACGGAACAGGATCTAAAGAAGAAAAAAATAATTGCTTGAACGAAAACAAGAAGTAGGCCATCTTCCCGTCCTAAATAGGCGGATTCGTGGATTAACAGGTGGACTGGAAGAAAAGCTGTGCTTGAGGGCATTCACCTGCATCCAAACCCCAACGAATGCCCCTCTTCGGTCCACGTCCCGACCATGATTGATCCATATTTCTGATGCAGAGATATGTTTCGCTGTTAGGGAGCGGGGAAATCCACGCCCTCGTTCGACTGGTTGGGTTCTCCTGCGTGGCACACTCCGCCGGGGATGTCGGACGGAAGAAGGAGGAATCGCCGCATTGACGGATCAGGGGATAGTTAACCTTAGATTAGAGCACAAGTCAAAGTGTGAACAGCGCCATGATCCATCGTTCACATGCAATAACATCCAAGAGTTTGCTAAGTCCTTCCGACTGCCCCAGCAGACTACCAGTAACAGTCCCCGTGACTCCGGAGCATATATCCATATGAGGCCACGATTCGTACGGGGATGTCGGAACCGAGGGACCACCAATTGATCATCTGGAAGAGTTTCTCTCGAGTCTAGGCGGTCCATCTTCCCCGTATTTCCCCAGATTTGCCTGCTGGCCATGGGCCATGCACGTCCGTCCAGGATATAACCTCTGCGGTCGCTGCACCAGAGGGCTTGATATCCGCTTATTAACGAGGCTCCTTTCCCTCTCTCATATCTTTTGAATCCCTTGTTCTCTTAAGGTGCCCACCCCTCAAGGTGCCTTTCTCTCAATATGGCAGTCGACGAAAAGACCGACGCCCAGTTCCATGAGACAGTCCGCACGCGCGATGGAGACGTCGGCGATGCCATTGAACTGGCCCAGCAAGCCGCTTCGGCCAAGTACAGCCCATGGACCCCGAGTATGTTCCGGCTGTACGGCTGTTTGGCCATCGCGTATCTCTGTGGCTGTCTTAATGGCTACGATGGATCGCTCATGGGCAGTTTGAACGCGATGCAGAGCTATCTGGACTACTTCCACATGTAAGTTCGACCATGCAAATTGGAAATGAAGTCTGAGCTGACGTCTCCAGGAAATCCGCCGGTTCGAGTACAGGACTTGTCTTCGCCCTCTACAATATCGGTTCTATCCCCGCCGTGGTCCTTTCGGGTCCCGTCAATGACTATCTGGGCCGTCGCGCAGGCATGTTTACCGGCGCCGTCATCATCATTATCGGTACATGCATCCAAGCGCCTTCAGTCAACCATGGCATGTTCATGGCCGGTCGATTCATCCTCGGTTTTGGCGTCAGTTTCTGCTGTGTCAGTGCGCCTTGCTACGTGAGCGAAATGGCGCATCCCGCCTGGAGAGGCACTCTGACGGGTCTATACAACTGTACCTGGTATATCGGGTCGATTGTCGCGAGTTGGGTATCCTACGGCTGCGCCAACATCGAGGGCCACATTGGGTTCCGCATCCCCATCTGGTGCCAGCTTATCTCGTCAGTACTTGTCGCTGTTGGAGTCTGGTTTCTACCGGAATCACCACGCTGGCTTATGGCGCAGGACCGCGTTGAGGATGCCGTCAACGTACTGGCCAGATACCACGGAGAAGGCGACCGTAGCCATCCCATGGTGACGCTTCAGATCAAGGAGATGCGGCAGCAGATTATGACCGACGGCTCGGACAAGACATGGTGGGAGTACCGGGAGCTGTTCAACACGCACTCTGCCCGTCGGCGGCTGATCTGTGTCGTTGGTATGGCGTGCTTTGGACAGCTGTCCGGTAACTCGATCACTTCGTACTATCTGCCCAACATGGTGGCCAACGCCGGAATCACCGATGAGAAGACCAAGCTGATGCTCAACGGCATCTACCCAGCCATTTGCCTGGTGGCAGCAGTCACTGGCGCCCGGTTGACAGACAAGATTGGCCGTCGTCCCTTGATGATCTACTCGCTGCTTTTCTGCTCGGTGGCGTTTGCCGTCATTACGGGAACCTCGAAGATGGCGACAGACAATCCGGATAACTCCAATGCGGCCAACACGGCCATCGCATTCATCTACCTGTTCGGTATCGTCTTCTCATTTGGCTGGACCCCGTTGCAGAGCATGTACATTGCCGAGACTCTCACGACGACAACCCGGGCCAAGGGTACTGCCTTTGGCAATCTCATGTCCAGCATCAGCAGCACGATCATCCAATATGCGTCTGGTCCAGCCTTTGACAAGATCCACTACTACTTCTACCTGGTGTTCGTGGGCTGGGATCTGGTCGAGGCAGTCGTTATCTGGTTCTACTTCCCCGAAACGAAGGAGCGAACTCTTGAGGAACTGGCCGAGGTGTTTGAGGCACCTAATCCGGTCAAGAAGAGTCTGCAGAAGAGAGATATCCACTCTGTCTTGAATACTCTGGATGTTCAGGGGGATACCAAAGCGTAGTCTATTCTGACTAGTGATTAATGAATCTTCAGTATCTGAATATATCTAAGCCAAATGAATGTATAATTGAATCCATAAGACTTTTGCGACTACAAATCGACCTCGGTGTAGATCAGTTTCTTATTCTCCTGTTTGCCAATGCCCCGATCTGGCCTTTTCTGGGGAACGCTATGCGGCCCCGTGATTGGCCAAGACAGAATAGGAGGAATGCGGGGAAGAGATCTTCATCTTCATTCTTCATTTCGGGTCAATCAATCGCGCGCTGATTCCTCCTGCACTCTGTCTCACTAGATTGTTTCTGCTTGATGATTCGTCTTTTCACCTAGGTAATATATCATGTCGCTAGAGGAGACGCCCGACTATCGTAAGCGCAAGAGAACTTCCCACGCGGTTTGCCTCCTCTCCTCCAATTGGGTTCAGTCGGTTGACCCCTGCTGATCGGCAGACAGTGTGACGCCTGTCGATACAGAAAAGTGAGGTATGCTTCCTCTGTATCAGTTATCAGTTAGGAGTACACTGAGTAGAGAAGATGCGATGGTCGTCAGCCATGCACAACATGCGGCAACACGGGCGAGGAATGCGTCTACGGCACGGAGGCAGTCCCGTCAGTATTATTTCCCATGCATTGATTGCGAATAGACTGACCCACTACAGCAAGAACAAAAGCGATTTGATCCTTGAGGTGGCCGTTCGCTCCGAGCGACTGCTTCAGGATATGTCGGCTCAATTGGTAGCTTTCCCTGTCGTGACTGCGCACCTTTCACTGACCCAACTAGGCCAGGGTCTCAGGGATGCTGGACGGTAAAACCTCATCGCAGTATCATACTTCTCCAACAGCCATAATCTCTCCATCGACAATCAACGGCGCCCATCGTGCCGACAGCCCTGGCGACCACATCTCCAATGCCACCCTGTCGGCCTTTCATGCCTCCACCACCGAGTCCATCCTCGCATGGCCGCACTTCAACGACTTTCAGTCCCTGCGGGAAGACCACAGTTTCTCCGTCTTTCACCTAGAGTCCACTCGTACGCCACTGGCGCCCCGTCCAACAACGGTGCACCCGTACGCCAGCCGCAGCGAAATAGACCGCGTGGTGCATAGTTTCCAGCGCAACGTCAACTTCTGGTATCCCACCATGTCAGTTGGCCAGGCGGCCGAGGTCCAGGTGCACATAGCCGCGGGCGTGTTTGGCGACAGCGTCAAATCCTGTTTGTCTCTGTTAGTGATGGCGCTGGGTTGCGCAAGTGAACTCATCTGCTCGTATGCGGCACATGAAGATCCAAACTCGGAAGAGCTGGAGCTCCGCAGTCATCGGCGAGCAATGGGCGAGATTTATTTTGACTGTGCGTTCAAAAAGATCTATCTGGCGCAGGCAGAGTGCACCGTCGATGCAGTACAATCGTTATTCTTTACAGCGTATATCTCCCCACCACGATGTTGATATATTCTGACCATTCCAGTATCTTCTTCGCATTCCTTCAACGCCCTCTACAAGCGTGGTCCTTCATCCACGGCACGGCCGCCAAGTGCCGTCTCCTCTTAGCATACCATGACCCCGACGCCAACCCAGCAGAGCAAGAATGTCTCCGTCGGATCTTCTGGTCCTGCTACATCCTCGAAAGGTATGAATCTCCCTGATATTGATTCCCAAACTGACCAGCAGTGACTACCTCGCCGAACTCTCCGCCCTCCCCCAAACCGGCATCGCCGACATCGAGTCCTCCATCCCCCTACCCGGCGAGTACCAGACCCACCTCTCGCAGACCGACGAAGAACAATCCTCCCTCTACTTCCTCGCCTGTATCTCCATGCGCCGGCTCCTCAACCGCGTCCACAACCTCCTCTACGCGCGCGACACCGGCGTTGCCTTCGACAACCACCAGTTCCCCTCCGTCGTCGCCGAACTCGCCCACCAGCTCGAGGAATGGAAGGATCTCCTCCCGCCCCCGTTTCAGTTCACCGTCGACCTCCGTCCCTTGTCCTGCACCGCAGCCGCATTCCTCCGCCAGCGCTACCTCACCTGCAAGAGCGTGATCTACCGGCCCTACCTCACCTGGGCGCTGTCTATGACCGCCACCGCGACAGTGGACCATTTCCCGCCGCAGCTCTTTGAAGGGTGCAAGATCTGTCTCGAGGCGTGCTGGCTGCATGCGCAGAATTTGGGGAGTTATCCGCATACGGTGCTGGTCGATACCTGGATCTGTTCGCTATCGTACGTATGTTCCCCTTGGATTTGTTGAGTGATGCTGATAGTAGTAGAATGGCGAGCGTGATGCTGATTGAGCTGGCGGCATCGCGGCTGACGGCGCTGAGGGGCTGCTTGTCGCCGCAGGTGGCGGAGATGGGACCCCATCTGGCGAAGCTGCTGACACAGTGGATGCATATCCCGGGGCATGGGGTGTCGCCGAGTGTGTTGCAGAGTGTGAAGCTTATTGGGGATGCTGGGGTGTTGTTGAGGATGAGATTGGGGTGACTGCAGTGGAACGTTATACTAGGTATATTGATATATGCAGAACTATTAGACATGAACTAGAAAATGCATTACTGCTTCTCCTCCACAGGATGTTTATCCAGACTCTCATACCACTGTATCACAGACCCCAACAGGAATGCCCAGGACCCCCAGAACGTCGCCAACGTGCTCTGATACTCGACCCCCGAGTTGGCCGTCGCTGGCCCCAGCGCTCCACAGAGAGTGAATCCAATCCCGCCGATAAAATTCCAGAATCCGATATGCCAGCCAAGGATGCGGATCGCGGGAATATACCATTTCGGCTGCGTCTCTATCGCGAAAACCAGCCCGCTGAGGATAAAGCACGAACCGCCAACGATCTGCGGGACCCAGAAGACGCCGTTGGTGACTGCTTGGCTCATGTGGTTGATTATGCCAGGAAGGCCGGTAAAGCCTGCTATCCAGAAGATGGTAGCTCCGATGAGTTGCACGAACGAAGCCCAGAATCCGATCTCGTGGAGATAATGGGTGCGGAGTTCGTTCAGTGTGGGAAGCCATTCAAACGGTCGCTTTCGACCAGTCGATGTGTATCTGTTCGAGTCCTGTCTGGCCTCTGAGGGAGTCAGGAACGAGCGGCGGTTTGCATGATGATGTAGACACGAGTCCATGTCAGACTTGATTCGCACGACAACCTGTTCGACTTCATCTTCTGCTGCCTTGGAGGCCGTCTCAACAGCCCAGCCGAAGCAGCCTGTCTGGTTCTCGTTGACTGCTTCTAGAACTAGCAGAATACTACCAATTTCGAAGACAGTCGCACCGATAAAGGCTGTGACGCCTCCACCGGTGAGGACTTCATTCGGAAACTCGGTGGACGGGACCTCCAGCGGTAGCCAGACGAAAAAGGCGTTGATGACCCAGATCACCGATCCGACAGTAAAAACAAAAGCCACCCAGAAGGAAATGTCCCAGTAGGGGAACGTCGTGAACATGCGAAGAATCCCTTTGATGATAGCTATCGGGTTGATTGTGTTCCGGGGGTAATTCTTGCCTGCGACTCCTGGCGGTCGCTGGTGGATGGTGAGTGCATGTCGTCCTTTACGATTATCGCGAGAGCGCCAGAGTCTTTGGATGCGTGGTTTTGGGATGGTTTCTTGGTCAAGCTGTGGATGCGTGGATAATGGAAAATGCGCCCGTGTTGGATTGGCAAAGGCCAGAGGACCAGAGATGTGGGGTGATCCCAGTGGCACTCGTCGGTCTTGTAGGGGCTTTCGACCCGCACGAAAGACCTGCGACCGGGGCATTTTCTTTTATATCAAAAGCTGTAAAGTTATTGAAGATGAACGTTCATTTTGTCTGGTTTTCTCTGTTGCAAGTGAATGAGATTGGATGATGTGTCGATGGATGACTGGGATGTGATATATGGCGAGATCAAGTTCCCGCCTGCTGCTGCCTTTTAAATATCGGACCATCCATGATCTCATGGGGCTTGACAAGTTTCTAACAAACATCTGCTAGGCTCTCAGTTATTCTCAAGTATCACTGGTACTAGTCCTGGCATGATGATGGCGCTGTCAGAATCCTGGAAATGCGGGCGCTGATCCTGGCAGCTATCAAGCTTTTTGTCTAGAATCAAAAGTCATTTTGCGAAGTAGGCAGGCTCAACTTTATTACTCTTCCTGGCTGTAAGAAGTTAAATGGATTCTTATCACTGGACTTCCTCCGAACCCGTAGAATTAAGCGATCTTAGCTGATCTTTATTCATAATTTGATAAGGGCGTTGTTGAGCTTGTCCTCCTGCAGGAAGACACGCATGCAGCCAGAAAGCTAAGCTTAAAACTGCCTCCTAAAATAGCATGCCTCAACTGCCTTAGTAAAGTAATAATGTGAAAGTCTAGCTACTAAAATAGTATAGGATGTCTGAATAAACTTAGACGTTTCTATGGAACATCTCCTATCAATTAGTGATTCAACCGGATAATATGCCACCCTTCATTTAAGATACAGTTATATTCACCATATCCTATGGAACTGTCTTCCAATCTTACTATTAATTAAGGCTTTAGTGAAGACTCTGTTATATAAACATTCTCTCTTAGGCATATTGTTAGGATCAGCTACTAAAGTCCGATATTAAAGGGTGAATATAAGGATGAAGGGGACAATGACCGTATATTGCCTGCGAAAGGAGAACTAATCGCTGGCTTGCGGAATCTTCGCCAGATATTTTGGGCATAAGGACATCATCCATGCATGCCAGTGATTCCCACTTGCCAGGGTGGCTATCGCCTCACTGATCTCGCTGTCTGCGCCCCACGGGGAAGACCAGCCTGTGTTGGTAGCCTTCATTTAAACTGGTAACACATGCTCCCACGAAGATGGAGCCGGTTAGACTGAGATTCTAGTTCCACACAGCCGACTTCCTAGCCAATGCGCAGCGAGCAAGTCAACAACTTGGCCTACTATACGACGCCCCAGATCTCTATCCCACTATGCAAGATGCCTTTGACACACAACGGAGGATGAACCGTCATCTGCTCTGGCTGGGCGCCTCTCAAGTGCAGACGATTTTGCCGATGCTGAGGGGACGATGTAGTAGCTTCAAATGTAGTACAGTACTCTTTGGGTAGTTGTATGATGCTAGATTCCCTATCTTTGTGCTTCTAGGCTAGCTACAAATGAACCATGGATGGACATAAGCACCTCTATGTGCGGGTCTTTCGGCAGGGTAGCCATCACAAATGGACCAATCTCTCCTCGCGGATTGAATACAATCAACCTGAAATCATGGTAAGTCTCGTGACTGTTCCCGGCTGCAATTCATTCAGTAGAGATTGGCAGCGCAAATATAGTTAGTTACCAAAACTACTGTCAATGGTCAATCCGGTACCTTAGTATAGACCTTATTCTGACACAACGCCATCGTTGCAGCGTCGGAAAACGTGTACGGGACCTGGTAGGCGTCTAAAAGCGCTGGGATCTGGGCTTCTCTGGCTAACCCATGAAATCCTTGCGCTATGTTAAATGCTAGGTCCCAATCCTTATTTGTGCCAGCCGCTAGGTGTTTGACAAGGGATTGGATTCCTGGCACCAGCGTGACATGATGTCCCAGTTCTTGCAAGGTAGTCAAAAGCTTATTGGCTTCACCATCGTGTGGTAGAGCTGCGCATTCCTCTTCCGAATAACCTTGACCGTGGTAGGTCGACCGCTGTTCGGCGATTAGGGCTATATTGAGAGAAGGTGTGTCATGCAAGGCCATCCTCTGAGTAGAATACAATAGGATATTGAGAGATAATAGAACAGGAAGAGAAACTTTTTTACCAGTCCACAACTACAAGCGGTATTTTAAAGCCTCTATGGGCTATGACTGATCCGCTCATTTTCAATGAAATCACCTCAATGTTACCGTGACGTCTATATCAACGGGACCTTGCAACGGAAATTGGAGTTTATCAAGAATCTTGTCGGTAGATTTTGATTAGTAAGAACAGAAGATTCTAAGAAAGGAAAGTCTATGGTCGAACATCACTTGGCCTCGACCAGTTATTCCACTTCCACACATAGCGCCGCAGAGATGTTTGCAATCTGTTTGTTTTTACCATCACAACCAAGCAGCCTTAGGGGTGCGTATCCAGAGAAAGCAATGATGGCATTAGGTTGGTCGTCGGATGCGGACGTTCCGTTTGGGTGGGCATTGCACTGGCATTCCATTGGTGTTCATTCCTTCTGTATAAGAGAATTTTACCACTCTCGCCGCATCTGTCTGGATCCATATTAAAAAGTTAAACTCTTAAAGTTTCACAAAAACACTTTACGCATACCCATTGGAACGGATAGACACTAGTGAAACCGCTAACCTTCACTATGGAACATGATATAGTGGCAGCAGCTTGCTGCCATGGAGATGGTTGAGATGGTTGGATTCTCTATCTAGGAAGCCGAACTGTGCGTGGAATAGGGGCAAGCTCGCTAGTTGCGGGCTGATTGAACCTCGTAGAGTCAGGTGACCATACGACGGAAAATATTTCCGACAGTGTAGTTAAGTGGGTCTTACAAAGCCCTAAGCCTGTAACTGAAGGGCCTTAGATCAAGGGCAGGTGCAACAGGAATAACTACGAGGTCATTATAAGCAGAGCGCCGTAAGCTCGTGTCTCCTTCCCTCTTACAATTCTTGCCACCTTCGACTCCTGCGGGTCTGCTCTGGCACGGGAATGCCGGTAGGGTCAGGGTATCCAACGTCATGTATGATGCAAGGAGACCTCCAATCTACCAACTCGGTGTTACGCTTTGAGTGCTACTGGAAGCCCCTAGCGGCTAGGTCGTCTGAAATTCGGCTCCACCACCATCTTAATACTATCCATCGTACCGCAATCCTCATCAATAAGCCATTTAACACTCGACGGGTCAATCTATTTTAAGGTTGGTTACTCGTCATTGCAGAAACGTCGCTGTGGCCTCATCGGCTTCACGCAAAACGCCTTCCTCTGGGGGCTTCGGTAGTGCCGCAAGAGCTAGTCCGCTCTATATAGCCTTGGTCAGGATGTCAACGCATATAGTCAGGTTGAAGCGGTTCAGTCCACTTCCAATAACCACCCAATCACCAACGATTTAGCAGTAATATATGTGGCCCGGAATCCTGCAGTTTACAGCAAGGTTTGACGTTTGTTCACTGCAATATCGGATACGGGGTGACTTTCTCAGTGAAACTGCAAGATTTGGCTTGGCCGCGTAGTATGGGATAAAGTACCAAGGAATCAGAACCGCGCGACCGCTGTTCAAGTATGTAGACCATAATTTGGGATCTTCCACACTCTAATTCTACTGAGTTGAACAGCTGCCGCGCAGAATGCCGCAAGGTTGTGCTGCTATATCCCTCCAAGATAACCGGCTCTCCTACTCCCCTCTGTTTCAAAATATCTAGTTTAAGTCTAAGTAATTCCACTTATACCTTCTTTGATCACAGCTATTTTTTCTCCGTATCTATCATTCTAAAACAACAGCTGGCAGGGACACACCCTCCATCTGCACCCTTCATTGCTAAAATATATGCTCGGACTTTTCGCCCATTGAATTAGCCCCATCTCCATATCTATTCCGATGATGTGGCCAAAAACCCTACTTGCTACAGCCGTGGGATTATTAGCAGCACTAGTTTCGGTCAAATTTCCTAGCATTCGTCCCCTGCAGCAGATTCTCAATTCCTGGAATAGCAATGAGGGTAACCAGAACAACATCTGTCTACGGGCACCTAGCGTGCAAAGCCCTTCAGATGGGCTCCTCCCGCCTGACAGGTTCACACGGGATCAGTCAATACGGGTGCTCCAGGCTGATCGCCTTTCCAAAGCTGTCCAAATCCCGACTACAATCGAGGAGCACATGAACGATCCCTATAGTGAAGAATTTAGACCATTTCTTGATTTCCAGGGGCTTCTTCGATCCCTTTTTCCCCTTACGTACGTTCCCCCTACCTCCTCCCAAAACAGTACTTGTCGCGCAGGCCGACACCTAACAATCAGTTGCCTCAAGGTACTCCGAGGCTAGAATAGACTATGTCAACAGACTAGGTCTAGTCTTTACTCTAAATGGTACAGATCACAACCTCAAGCCTATTCTTTTCGCAGCCCACCAAGACGTTGTCCCTATAGATGACCCCTCTGGGTGGACCTACCCACCATTCTCGGGGCATTTCGACGGTGAATGGCTTTGGGGTCGCGGAGCAAGCGACTGCAAAAATCTGGTAATTGGGCTACTCTCTGTGATTGAGGATCTATTAGCCCAAGAGTGGCACCCAATCCGTACCGTTATACTTGCATTTGGCTTCGATGAAGAAATCCAAGGAGGGCTTGGTGCAGGGTCAATTTCATCCTTCCTTGAGCAAAAATATGGACAATACAGCTTTGAGTTTATCTCCGACGAAGGGGGTATGGGTATTGAAAATCTTGCTAATGACGAAGGGCATGATGATATAGTGTACGCCCTTCCCGGTATAAGTGAAAAGGGCAGTATGAATATGGTCTTGGATCTTTCAGTGCCAGGTGGGCACAGTTCTGTTCCCCCGCCTCATACAGGTATCGGAATAATGTCTGAGATCATTTATCTCCTGGAACGAGAAGATCTTTTTACGCCCCTGCTAGGCGAGACACATCCATCTCGCCGAAAGCTAGAATGCCAGGCAAGGTACTCGCCAAATTATGTTGAACCATGGCTGGCCGATATACTACAATCCACCAACTACGGGTTTGCGGCAGAGAAACTAGCCTTGTCAAGAGGCCCAGAGTTTAGATTTATGCTACAAACATCACAAGCAGCTGATATTTTCCACGGCGGTGTTAAAGCAAATAATCTGCCAGAGAATATCTCAGCGTTGGTCAATTATCGGATTGCCATACATCAATCACCAGACACGGTTAAGTCTCGTGCTATTCAGATCGTTGCTCCAATTGCGCGGAAATATAATCTAACCTTATATGACTTCCGGGAAGACCCCACACATAAAGGGAATAACTATCTACAACTGTCAACAGACAAGATTGAGCTGCACCCGGCGCCCATCAGCCCCATACGTGATACAGTTGGGACCCGGTTTGCAGGAGTTATACGATCAGCCTTTGAGTCTGTGCCCAGTTTAAAAGGCAAAACCGTTGTAGTCGTTGGGGATCTTATGTCAGGCAACACAGATACAATATTCTACTGGAACCTGTCAAAGAATATATATCGCTGGGATCCAGTTAGGAGGGGCAGGGCACTGAATATACATGGGGTTGACGAAAGGATTGCCCTTGATGCACATTTGGAGACTATGACTTTTTATTACGGTATGTCTTTCTTTCCTTTGTTCAGCCAGGGATGTTGGATGATCTATGTCTTGCTAATTTTTTCTGGGGCAGAACTGATCCGTACTTTTAACGTATTGGAGGAGTAGCCGATCATGGCGCATTGTTAGGTTGATTGTTGGGACGGGAAACTCCCATGGGATTCGGATGGGATGTGATGGGATTTTGGAATGGAAAACGGGAGATCCCGCCCTGTTTAGAGATGGCCTGAAGTTGAGAATGGGATTCCGGTTCCAGCCCAGTTGAGAGGGGATGGGAAACAGGATGCCAAGAGGGAAATAAGCTCAACGCTATCGGTAAATGCTAAGATACCAGATTCTGGCTTGACCAATCAGATCGCTCGATTCCACCATGGTTTCAACACGCCGATTGCAGAGATTTTACGTCGTTTTAGACTGTCCTTACCGATATCGAATTTGTCGTATATAAATACTAGGTTAGATGGATAGATTAGAAGAATCAGACCTTCATTCCTGGTGCACTCCGCATATATGCGTTTACAAGGCAACTATGACTAGCGCGGAATGGTTAGAACGGGGATGCTAAGAAAGTGATAGGATTATCCTACAATTACTGTTCGTAAATAATATGTACTGTTAACTACCAATGATTTGTTATAAATATCTACCTCTATAATTTATCTTTATAAGTAGCGACAATAGGTAGCAGCAGAGCAAAGGAGGCTCTGGCATTCGTTTATAGCGTGAGTAGTGATCATTCTCAATATTAAAGTGTCGTAATTCAGAGGAAAGTTGATCGTTATTATTCTCATCCGAAAAACTTCAGGGTCTGTATTACAATATGAATATTACCTAGATTGCTTTTCAACTAGCTTGATTCTATACGGAATTTGTTACGTTCATGAACCGCTGTTTTAAACCTTGCCCATGACGACAACATTTCATCCCTTACATTGAGCGCCGTGGCTCGATTTTTGCCCGGCGTTTTCCCAGTTATTCTCCTGCCCGCTGCCTGATCCGGGCAGAGTATCATCCAGAAGACCCGCGGTCTTAGCAGGAAAGTTCTCCTGTTCATGCATATTATGCTCCTTTCCTCCAGCAGGGTTTCCCTTGAACTAGTGTCAACTGCGATATATAACCAGTTACTTATGCCAGTACGGGACCCCGTCTCGTACCCCTACTACCAGACTTCCTCTCCGCTTCCACGAGAGTCAACGCCTCTACTGAATGTAATGTGGTGTGATCTATGTACACACTAAAACCTCATCTTCCCTCTGCCCGTGAATAATCATCTCTTTCCAAGCCTTCTACTACTCCATCAGTGCAGCCAGACTTGTCATCATGTCTTTGGATATTACGGTATTCATTCTCATCCCCCAGTTGCTGTCCACTAATAAGTCCTTCCAGACCTTCCACAATGTTATCAACAATGAGTTGATCACCACCTCAAACACCTGTCACGGTATCAACCCCGCAAACCGTCAGCCCAATCCTGAAGTCCCTGTTTCCACAAAAGAAGATCTTGATCAAGCCGTCAATTTTGCTCGACAAGCTTTCCGAAAATGGTCAAAGACCTCATTCGATGAGCGCCGCACTGCCCTGAGCGCCTTTGCAGACAAAATCGAAGTAAACAAGGACGCACTGGTCCGGCTGTTAACGCAGGAACAAGGAAAGCCGCTCAGCCAGTCGACTGAAGAGCTTAGAATGGCAGTCCAGTGGGCCCGAGTCATACCCACAATTGAGATTCCTGAGACGGTTATTGAAGACACAGAAGAACAACAGATCATTCAGCGGTATACTCCTCTCGGTGTCTGCGGGGCTATCGTGCCGTGGGATTTCCCTGTCTTGCTAGCTGTCGGCAAGATCGTGCCCGCTGTGTACACAGGTAACACTGTGATCCTTAAACCCTCCCCATTTACGCCGTACTGCGGCCTGAAGCTCGCTGAGTTAGCAGCGCAATGCTTCCCACCAGGTGTGGTCCAGGCATTGAGTGGGGGTAATGAACTGGGCCCTATGATTACAGAGCACCCAGGGATCGACAAGATCAGTTTCACTGGCTCAATTGATACAGGGAAGCTTGTCATGATGAGTTGCGCACAGACCCTGAAGCGGGTTACACTAGAGTTAGGTGGGAATGACCCGGCCATTATCTGTGATGATGTCAATATTGATGCGATCATTCCAAAGGTATGCTACCTCCACTTGTTCTGTGAGCCTGCTGACATTTGCAGATTGGGATTCTCTCCTTCCTCTGCTCTAGCCAGATCTGCATGATGATCAAGCGGCTGTACGTCCATGAGAAGATCTATGATGAGTTCTGGGAGAAACTCGTGGCCTTTGTGCAATCCCTCAAGGTTGGCGATGGCACCCAGCCTGATGTCTTCTTCGGCCCAGTCCAGAACAGTATGCAGTATGACAAGGCTAAGTGTCTCCTCGAAAGCTTGTCCTCTGAAGGTCTCAAGGCAGCCCACAGCGGAACTATCAATGACTCAGCAGGCTACTTCATCCACCCAACCATCGTTGATAATCCTCCTGAGTCTGCCCGGGTCGTTCAAGAAGAGGCCTTTGCGCCGATTTTGCCTATGCTCAAGTGGTCAGATGAAGAAGATGTCATTAAGCGGGCGAATGCTACTGAGACAGGCCTTGGGTCATCGGTATGGAGCAAGGACATGACGCGAGCTCGTCGAATAGCTGATCAGCTTGAGTCGGGCAGCGTGTGGATCAACTCCCACTTTGACGTGTCTCCCAAAGTACCGTTTGGAGGACACAAGGCCAGCGGAATTGGCACGGAATGGGGGTTGAACGGTTTGACGGCGTACTGTAACTCACAGAGCTTGTGGGTCAAGCAGGGTTCGTGAGCTTCGGTTTGCAAGCCAGCTAAGTCGTAATGCTATGATGATTCTTCTCAAAAGACCTTTCATAAGATGCTTCAACTGAGTACTTGTCTCGTAGGATGTGGCCTTGCCCAGGTCGGCGATCTGGTCGTCTGTGACATGGACCTCTCCATCCTTGGTGATCTGTCAGCAGGAGTTGACGGTAATGATGCTTGCGCAGGAAAAAACAGATCGACAGACGACAGCAGTGTTGGTCAAGTCAATGGAGCTTGCAAGATGACTAGGACAGGCGTATTGGTTGTATAACTCTATCGTTCCTCTTCTGTACCCCACTATCAACCCTAGTTTATAGCGGAGACATCCGATGTTGAAAGCGGAGAGCGAAGATTCGCGAGGGAGAGGAAAATAGCAGTCTGATAGTAGTAATAGTAGTAGTATTCACATCTCGTCTCGAACTCTGAACTGAAATACAATGGGCACGTAGAAAGGCATCATTCGCATATATACGTTCACAGGGTAGTGTGAGGGTCTCTTATGAATGCGTGGAGCAGATGGCGGGTTAATATTAGCTATCACAGGAGCTACCTTTAGAACCGGTTTGGGGAATTTTTGTTGTCTGCTTTGCTCGGGTCAAACTTTGCTAAATACCCCCTTGCACCGACTCGACGGGCATCTCGACCCGATCGTTTAGGAGAGCAATCACCGAACCGTACCTGTCGATTATGGGCGGAATTACCTGGCATCCTGCCATCGAATAGCCATCACTGCCAGGAGCAGTAGGGAATGGACGTTAGGTACCTGAAAGGAAAAGGTACAGGAGAAACATATCAGCTATAGTCAATACAGGCAAGACCCTGTGTGCCCAGACCGTTACAAAGCTGCAAGAGATATAGGCACGGCCCCACGGGTGTGATAGACGTCGCGCAATCGCAACGGTGCTAGGACGGACACTAAGGCACGATGGCCATTAGTCCCGCTGATATCTCCCGTTTCTTCCGTCCCCTCGGAATGAAGCATAGCAAATCAAACATGCTCACCGAGTGTCTTGAGTTGTTGCTCTTCGTCGATCAGGGGATTGCACGGTGCGACAGTTTGCTATAATCTCTGCAGAGGCACCCTGAGGAAGTTGCTGCGCCGGCTAAAGAGGCCTTTGGAAAGGCCAAGGCAGGGTTGTTATCGGCGGGGTTGATTCCCAAAACCCAGAATACTGTCTCAGGAGGTCGCAATCCTCACCGGCCACATCAGAAGCCGGTCCAACCCAGCGTCGTGTAAACCAGAGATGGATCTTTGAATCCTAAGAATCTCCTCCTTGAAAGCGCCCAAGAACCAGCGGTCTACCAGTGAGTTGATGACATAAAAATGAGCCAAGATGGCTAAAGAAAGTCCCCTGGTTAGACCTATTAGTTGGTCGCTCCCCAGTAACCCAATAAAGACATCGGGGACCACGCTTGGCCAACCTAGCACTGCGGCCTCTTCCAGATTGTACTGAATATCGGAATCATCTGGAAACCCCCGCTCGCTGACTGTACATTGGAACACAGAAATAACGCGCGAATAAATACTTTCTAGGACGTCTATGCCCCTTGATAGTCCATCCACTGCTACTTCCGATGTGTTTGGAGAAGAGACGGACGTTAAGTAGAGCTCGGGGCTACTGGTTATCCGAAGAGTGGCGTGGAAAGCTCTCAAGTCCGCGATCGCTTGCAAAGCCCCATGGGCGAATAACTGCACAAGAAGAGAGCAGCGATTGAGCTTAGACAAGGATGAATCAAAGGGAAGGTCTTTCCAGTACTCATCACCATGGAAATGTAATACCATCGACCGCATGCAGCTGGCCTTTAAGGCAGGCCATTGATCTTGGATCACGGTTGACACCCCCGGATTAGGTGCAGCCAGCTTATCTGGGGCTGGTTTATTGGGGGCAGAGTCTGCTTGTTTAGCGCCGAAGCATAGAGGACAGAAACCGGAGCAACAGTCGGACAGGCCGGATTCAGCTCGGGCACCTGGAGGGATGCATAGACGAAGGCAACGAGGAGTAGAGAGCCTGCATAAACAGCTTCGGCATTCGAGTTGGATAGCTGGGCCACCTCGTTTCTGAAATTCTGCAGCCCTCTCTGGTAGTGATCCATTACAACCCGCAAATCTACCGTATCTGAGTCGTAATCTTCACCAGGCCTTTGCCTCAGTCGATGAGTGATCATGTGAAGGCCGCCCAAGGCGATGAGTAGGTGCATGAGATAACGGTGCTTTCCGGCGAGGCGGGGAATCACCTGCCGCCAGATCATGCTTCGTTTTGGGTGTAGGGACATCTCCTGAGCAGTATGCAGATGGAAGAACTGCATCGCTAGGAGATTATCCATATCCAGGTCATCGTTTGCTGGTGGGGAAACACCCGCCGGCCGCGACGTATATGTCTCCCATGGCTCTAGGTAGGATCGGACGGGACGGGGACTACCGGCACTCCGGGAGCGTGGCGAATCTCGTCGCTCCCCAGAGGAGCTGATCGGTTTGAAGGTCGCGACTGGAGGATCAGGGAAGACACATGGCTCGCCGCGAGAAGAGCAGGAGCCACAGACAGGGCGAAGCTCATCGCACTGTACGACATCGAACCGACGGTGGATCAGCGAATAAGGCAGGCGTGAAGCGGCAATTCGGGGGACGCAGACCAGAGTAGAATGGTAGACTTACTTTGACCCGTCGCGACTTGCAAGAGAAACACCCTAAGCGAGATTTGTGGTGGCGTGCGCGGTGTCTTTTCCTTGCGCGTTGACTGTTATGTGCTGCCTCTGCAGCCATACGTGAGTCACCGTTAAGGGACAAGCCCTGCATGATCACATGAATAACCCACAAGATCTAACCATCGCTTGAGGGCAGGGGAGGTCGGACTTGCATGAGAGGAACAATTTTTGGATAGGGATGAAGGATGAACTGCGCCACAAGTTGCCTGATCCGGCCAAGACGGAGAGCTACGCCGGACTGGGACAGCCAATGGCGCACAATCAATCACTCCAACTGTCTCGAGTCGTCATCTCTCAGGGTGGTATAGGTTTAACTCAGAAATTCAACAATCGCCTTCAGCGAGTCTTCAACAGTACATCACGAAATTTGCATTCTTTCGTGGCCATTGAATAGTTCCATTGATGCACTGGCGAGCCATTGCTAGGACATGATGTGTACGATCATTGCGGGTCTTACTTCGTATTCGTATTAAGCAGAAACAAACAGGTTATGAGGACGACTACGAGTACGGCATTGGCTCGCAGGCTGTCGAAGATATATACATAGGTAAAATGTGACTGCATGCCATCCTCACTCCTTCGCTTTCAGGATTCAATGGCACAGCATACAGTTGTCCCTACATGTCTTCTCCCGTCTCCGCATGATTTCTAATATTTGCCTTGCTGAACCTCGAATCGCCAGTTTAGCAAAATGCTGCTACAACAACTGGCCGTCATGATTGTCACCGGTGGGCATGACATGGAGAGGCATTACGATGCTTTTCCTGCGTACGTGACCATGTTTTATTTGGCTAACTGTTCAGTCTGCTCTCGCCACCATATACAACACAATGTCTACCCACGCCCTGTCCGAAACTAGCTTGGTCGCTGGTGGGTAGTGGCTAGCCGCCTTCCATATAGCTTCTTCATCCCCTGGAGCACAGCGACCCTAAGAACGAGGGACCTGCATGATAAATATGGTCATTTTGTTCGTATCAGCCCTGATTGACACGTGTGTGAAGGATGACGAAAACAGAGGTAGAATTAACGGCGATAACGCTCATCATCACCAGAAAGGAAGTTGGTATTATGGACACCCGACTGGATCTAGCCTACTCTTAACTTCTACTCACGACAATGCTTTCCGGCACAGCTTACCTCCTTTGCACCAACCCTCGAGTGTTAAGGGAGCTTACTGAGAGGGTCCGCGGCGATTTCACGCAGAATCGGACCTTAAACTTGGTTAACTTGCAACAGCGTCAGTTTCTTAACGCCGTGCTTTTGGAGTGTCTGCGCCTCTGCCTCCAGCCCCAGACTGTCTTTGCCGGAGAACCACAGTATCGGAGACCTTATCATGGGGAAGTTCATTCCCTCTCAGGCCTGTGTGACGATGAATCTAAGGGCCGCCAATTGCTCTACGCTGAATTTTCACCGCCCGAACGGAATGATTCCGGAAAGGTGGGTGAAACCTTGTCCAGCGGAGTTTCAGACCAGCGACAGAGATATCATGAAGCCGTTTAGTTTGGGCCATAGGGATTGCTGGAGAAAGAAGCAGCTCCTCTCTTCAGTACCTCTACCCCATTTCCCCCCTCTATGGCGTCTTCTGGGAAGAAGCGAAAAGGGAAGAAGGGCGAGCCTTCGAAAGTCCAATGACGGCTGTTGGTGATTCCTGCTAACTGGCAGTTGGAGACCTGTCTGGGCAGAAAAATGCGGATGACCTTGGAGTACATGCTATAGCAATTGGATCTAGAGCTCCGTCTAGTCAGCAAATGTTGGATAGACCGGCAAAAAGTGTTCAAGCTATGGCAGAAACGAGCGCCGATGGCAAAGATATCGCCAGGGTCACTGGAAAATTGCACAGCATACTGGTTCAGTGTCTGGGAATCCAACCTCTCGGGGTATTTCTTTGCGACAACTACAATCCCTACCAAGCTAAAAGTAACATTGCAGTGCTGCTGTTCCTACGGCCTACCGGGATCGCTGGTTGTCTCCTTGTCTGTTGCTCTATATACTGGCCACGAATCGGGCGAAAACCTGATCTGTTCCCACCAAACAAGACCATTTCCCCTGGCGTCGACGACGTCTATAGTGTGTCTGGACTTCAATCGTTCTTTTCTTTCTATATTGACCTGAGGGACTTCACCTATTCTGAGCAGTAGATTGCTCATCCGAAGCGGGCGCGTTGGTGAACTGTCTGGTGAGCTGGGTTCTGAACATGGAAGTTCGGCCCAAGCGCTGGAGAAAACGAATGTTTAAGAATCCCAGGTACGCATTGGCCACGAAAGCGCCGATTAGTGTGATTTGAAGGGCTTTATCCCGCTCGTAATCTTGAAATAAGAACATATTCTATATACCGCTGAGAACAAAAGTATCTAGTCTGATACTATTTAATCGAACACAGATTGAAGGGCGGAAGGTAGGACAGTTTAAAATAACACAACCAATAAGGAAAAATAGAGATCCAGTTGCGAGAATCAGCTAATTCGTTGATGGTAAATCGTAAATGTTTAGGCAGCGGAAGAATCCTGCTCGAGGCTTTTACTCCTGCTCGGTATCAGACTGCTGGGATGGACGACATTGAACAGGATCATGGCCGCTAGCATAAGAACTCCATCAAATACATAGAGGAACGCCTCATGCCGCAGCAGATAGCCGTTGTTACCCATTGCATATTCAATGAGCCGAAACATTGACCGAATCATGATGAGCAAGTTGACTGCATAGAGGATCCACAGGTGTTTACGCCAGGAGCTGCTCAGATTTATTGATTTCTCTGTCTGACGCTTGACCACACGACGGTGGAAGATCGCACAGGTGACAATAAAGAGGCTGAAGAAAAGAATCTGTATGGCAAGGCCAGCAATAACAATCTTTTCACCGTTTTGCACGGCTGAGAGAGAACCACTGGCCATAACACCGCCACCTGTTTGTCTGCTGTTAGGTCCTTTGCTTCTTTCAACCAAAAGAGGTGGGATGTATGCTCACCGGCAGCCTGGACGGTGAAAGATAGAACATCGCCACACACAAAGAACTTTGTGAGCCACTTTTTCTTGAATATGCAAAGGTGCTCAGCATCTAGTAGCACCACAATCCGTCCGAGCATCATATAGACTGAAGCTGCGAATAGCGCTGGAGCCAACAAGAGCAAGAGGGTTTGTTGGATATAGGGCCCCATCGACCAGTTGGGACTTTCCCGACTGGACAGAGCACGGCCAAGATACCCAACCCATTCGACTGCACTTTTCGTTAGAATCCGCAACGATCCATGTTCGTGGTCGACTCTGTTAGCACTCACAGAAGCCCCCGATCACAAAAGGAATGAAAAACCAAGTCCGGCGACGAAGCAGCTGATATAGATGGACAAAGGTAGTGATAAGAAACAGGACAGTGAAGAGGATGGCGGCTGCCTCGGACGGATAGTATCGATAGTATGCCCACACGGCGGTTTTGTAGCTGGCATCTGCTGCCGTCGTCGGTTCGCGAGCCCAGAGAGACATTACGAAATGGACGCCGAGAATGGGCAATCGACCTGCTTGTTAGGAGTACTGGGAAATACTTGAAAGCTCAAAGATACATCCTGAAAATGAAAAGAAGACCGACAGGGCATCCTTATTTAGCTATTTAATCATCGCGCTTGAAAAATTCGACTGCTTCAGAATCATGGGAGCCTTAAGACTAGGGCCCACTCGTATACGTATAAGAAGGATCTCTAAGTATATAGCGGAACAAGCCGAATAGGGTTTGCTCCTTTCCCACTTCTGCTGCGCCATGGAAACGTTAAGTCGTATATTCGTATATTCGTATACGTATACAATACAGTTTGGTGGCGGAAGCGGGAACCAACACCATAGCCTCTCTGGTCCCACACGCTTGGCAAGCGACTATATCCAACCCCCTGGTGCCTGCCGGGAAAAACTTTCGCAAACGGACCAAATCTGCTCGGACACAGGCACTCAACCACTGGCTAGTGGCAAGCGGGCACCGGCGAAGAAGCCATGGCAAATGGACTCCAATGTAGGTATTGTATAACCGAACACCAACTTCCAGTGCTGCTTGGCAGGTTTGTGTGACGCAGTCCCCTCCAGTAGAAGCCCACAAAGGTACGAAACCCATATAAGGGAGTTGTGCTGCGACTCGTCCTGGGACGGTGTCTTGCAGAATTAAAGGATGTACCGTTTGCTCCCAGAAACAGATTATACCCTCAGCTGGCCTAGCTACACCTTATCCGGCCCGGCGCTGGTATGAATCGGACATTCATCCTGCAGTCTTTATTCTGCGTTGCGAGAGAGTGACCATAGTGAATGCCATTAGGCTTCATTTTGGAATCTCTGTGCGTTTGTGCAGACGAACCCAGTACAAGTTGCTACGGAGAAGCAATGTTGGCATTGTTGTTGCGATAGGCTAAGATGGGCCACTGAATCGACCCAGTATACCTAGGCCTGAAACCACTACTGCGTCCACATTGTTTCTCGGCGGTCTCTAATCTTTACTAGTGCGGATCTCACCGATTACCGTTCTTGTTCGCCATCCAAAGCCCATTTTCAGCCATATAAATATCTAAAGGGAAGCGTAATATTTCTGGTGAAGTGGCAGAATCTTCCTCTGTCAGTCTTTCGAGGAACCTACCGCTTCCTTCTCTTCAACCCATTCTCTGTTTCATTTGTCCATTCTTATTCCTTTTGAGCCTGTTGTTATTGTTGGAATCCATACCCTTACACATGAAAATGCCGGATTCGACGGATTCTAATGAGACCGTCTTTGCCTTCTATCGCTACGACCCTAGCATGAGCGGTGCCGTGCTTTTCACCCTCCTTTTTATAGGCACGACTGGGTATCATGCTTTGCAAATGTTTAAGACTCGCACGTGGTTTTTCGTTCCTTTTGTCATTGGTGGCATATGTGGGTGCATATTCTGCAATCCTTTGGCCCGGAACACTGCTAATCCTAATCTGCCCAGTCGAAATTATTGGATACATCGGACGTGCCATGTCCAGCAAACAGACCCCAGATTGGACCCTTGGACCATACATCGTGCAGACGCTCTTTCTTTTGCTGGCTCCGTCCCTCCTAGCGGCCTCGGTCTATATGCTTCTTGGTCGCATTATCCTGTTGTTGCAAGCCGAATCTCACGCCTTATTGGGGAGGAAATGGTTGACTAAGATTTTTGTAACGGGCGATGTGCTCTCATTCGTACTGCAAGGGGCTGGTAAGCATCTCATAGCAAAAAATTCAGAGTATGCGATGGCAAGTTAATATGATCTAGGTGGGGGCATTCAGAGCAGTGGAAATTTAGAGAGCATGAAGAACGGCGAGCACATCATCGTCGTCGGCCTCTTCGTTCAAATCTTTTTCTTTGGTTTTTTCATCATCACAGCAAGTCATTTTTACTGGAAGATCAAGAAATATCCGATCCCACGCTCTTGTACCCCCGAAATTCCCTGGAGGAAACACCTACATGTTCTTTATTTGGCGAGCTTCTTGATCATGATTCGCTCTGTTTTCCGACTGGCCGAATACCTTCAAGGAAATAACGGTTATCTCCTACACCACGAGATCTACTTATATATTTTTGATGCCGTGCTGATGTTCATCACGATGGTCACCTTCAATGTTGTGCACCCTTGCGAGGTTGGGCGACTACTGAGAGGTACCTTTGATTATGAATTGACTCACACGCCAGCGGCAGGTGTTAATAAGCCATACAAAAGGTCCGTGGTAGGGTGAATGGCGTATATCACGTTCCTGCTCGTCTGCTTCGCACACGAATCGACTAATTGAACCTGGCTTCCATAGACTGCTGCACTAGATTCCGCTTGCATACTTGTTTTGTTTTCCTTTTCGCACTTTTCTTGCTTTCCTTGCCCTTCCTTCTTGGTTTGCACCAAGATGTATATAATTTCTCAAGTCATCCTTCCATCTCGATTGAGTTCCCTCGGATTTGAGGGACATATTTATGTCAAACTTATTCAGTGTTGACTTAGATAGGCATACTATACGTGGGGCCCGCCATGCAGCTTAAGTCCAACATCAGATGGCCTCAGAGTCGGCTGATATTCTTAATTTGATCTGAGACAGGAGCTCGCAAGTTTATTATTACATATGCCACAACCAGAATAACCCAGATAACCATTAGATGCATGTAAATACACACTATCGTAATCTTGCCTTTCAGAGACCGTTGTGGATATCCTTTTATGGACAGTCCCTCTCTGTAGAATCCAGCTCGCGGAAACGTTATCCCTATGATGTATATGGTATATACTCTAAATATCTTTGAAAATGTGTGAATGTCTGCTCTAGAGTAAATACCTAACTAGAGAAAGAAGGGGCTTGTAAAGGACAGTCATAAAAGGGGAAGAACAAGTTCAGGAGAAATTTGATCTCGGGAAAGTAACTTCATACCATTCCACAGCTTATCTTTGCGACTAATTTGCTCTCCCACAGCATCAATGGACTCTACACTTCTCCACTCCACTAAATGTATATACGAAAACGAGTGGGTCTGAATTCTGCAGATCTTGGGGCCACTACGTAGTACCACTGCCGTTGGTGGGCTTGGCGAAACTAGCACAGCCTAACGTTCTATCTTCTTTCCTTTTCCGTGTAGAGAAGAATAGACTTCACAGTATTGGGTCAGTCCGATAATTTTCCATAGCAACAGCATTGTCTTCCTGGAAAACTATCGCACAGAAGACATGGGGAGTTGTGCCAGCGATTTACACTTATCAGTTGTGAGGTAAGATCGTATTAGCATGTCACTCTGGCAAGAGGACATGCTCAATGTTCTTGATAATTGACATCTGGTGTCAAGCCAGAACGAACTGGTTCCTTCAATTGCGTACGTGTAGCTTCCGGACCGTAGGTTTTGTCCATTCTACTTCTATTTTGAGTAACGGCTTACGGCTCTTGGGATGGGTTCGAGACAGTGTGGAAAGTTGATATGGGCCTAGCGAGTGGATAATCAAGAGGATGATTTATTCATACTATACAATAGAATGGTTGGGGGATCAGAGGATCAGACTCCCTGAGGCTGTTGAGAGCCTTTGGAACATGGAAAATGTCGAGCATTCGGGATTGTTGAATCTTCTGCCGACGCCCCAGTATGGCCGCTCTCGAGATCGGCGCTCTCTATACAAATCCAGCCGATCCTTTTGAAGCCATCTTTGATTGCTAGAACATGTTTGAGCCTTTTAGGGCTTATTGTCGAAGCTTGTTAGGGCAGTGTGGGTAGCGTAGAACGCACCCTTAGGGTTGTAGTACTCGTCGAACATCAATGGCTTCGCGCCCTCTATCCAGGTGTAAGCGTGTTTATCCGTAAAGCCCCAGAAACTGATATCGGTGATTCCAGCATCAAGAGCCTCGCTGATAACGGCACTGTAGATATCGGTGTGGAGCGTGGTGTTAAGCGTGTGGACATCCATTTCAGCGATGGACACTTCCAGTCCGAGAGCCTTGTAGGAGTGGACCATTTCAGCAATCACTCCCGGAATGGGGGCAACCTCGGTAATGTGCATCTGTAGAGCGACACCGTCGATGGGGACGCCTTTTGCCACGAGCCCGGAGACTAGATCATAGAGCTCTTGACGCTTGCCGGGAAGCGATTCGACGAGATTCTCGTTGATAAACAGTTTGGCGCTTGGGCACGCTCTCCGGGCAATACGGAACGCTTCTCCGATATAATCAGGGCCGAGCACGTTGTAGAAGTCATTGGTCTGTAGGCCGCTGCCATTTGTCTTGAGCGCTTCGGTGACAACGTCCCACCGATCAACCTTGCCGGCGTATCGGTGCATGATCGCCTTGAAATGATCGACCATGGCGACACGAAACAGCTTGGGGTCGGTGATGTTGAGCAGGTAGTCGGGGTTGCAGCAGCTCGAGATGAGTCCATGTCCCTTGACCACCATGTCATTGTCTTCCGCAAAGCCAACGAGGCGGTCGATCGTGTCCCAATTGTAATGCCCTGGGGTCGGGTGGATGAATGACCACTTCATCTCATTCTCGGGAGAGAGACTCTCGAACTGCTCGGCAAGGACGGTTGCAAACTGAGGATCATCGAGATAGGTCGGATTGATAGCTCCGGACCCGATGAGAATACCCTTGCTTGCTGCTTCCTCTCTCAGCGGGCTAGTTCCGGTGTTGGTGAAGGCGTTTGTTCCTTCGATAGCGGCGAGAAACGCAGTGATGAGTGTTGCGGCACGAAATCCCCTCATGGTTCTGTTGTGTGACATGTTCTTCAGTTCTTTGATATTCAGCAATGAGCGACATTTAACTGCAGTCTCATCGCCAGGGTATTTATAGGTCCTAGAAGAGAACAGACGACAAGGTATCCCAACGCCGTGGATACATAGTGGATCGACGATCCCCACAAATGGCGTTGCAGCCTGCAGGGTACGTATAGGAGTGGGTATCTGTACGAAAACGACTACACCCTCTGATTCGATGAACCACAGATTTTGTTTCGTGTTGAATTGCAGCACGAAAAGCAATTATCGGTCGTGTCAATGACAACAGTTTTCTGCACAGCCACTAAATAAACAGATAAGAGCTCGCTCAGGCCCTACTAACGGATACAACAGGCTCATGCCCAGTGGACCCATCAACCTCAGCAATTATCACAGTACTCACAATAGCAACCAGAATATGAGGCCATATTAAGAAACTTCAGTGCAAACATACCCCAAGAGGCACAGGATATGGCTTCTGCCATCTAACACCAGGTATGTGCCTTCTATATGTAGACAGACACAAAGAGGTGTAGTGATTGCCACATATAATGGCGTCCACCAAGGCATGCTTGAAGGCTCTGCCCTAAGAGATGCATCAGAAAACAGAAGGGCTTAAAGGATGTGCATGAGATATTATATGTAGTAACTTTTCTAGGGCCAACAGCTTTATGCAACAAGTATCAAATTAGTGAGGGTGCAATGTCAGTGCTTATACCTTAAATACTGCTACTGTATCACCCCACTACAGCTGGTGGCGGTGGTGGTATTCATACCCTGACCCCTCGCCTTCGGTGATACGCAGAATATCCACTAAGGCTATCTCTATCTATATTTGCATATAGTGAACCATTACATCCCAACAAATTTAGAGCCTTATCTTGGCCTATGGTGGCCGAAGTGCCCGATGTTCTGTTCTGCAGCCTCTTTAGCATGTAGCTTTAAACCTCTCTGAAGCCTCTGCAACGTCTAATACAGCACCTAAGATACTACTATCCTGCGTGGCACTATTTAACCTACCTTCCTTACAGTTCATATCTGCAGAGATAATTCTTTAAAGGATGCCATAATATTGATTACTGAGAGAGATCAAGAGATTCAAGTCTGCTGATAGAAAATTAGGGAACTACCTAATCAGGCCTAGCAGTAAATACACTGGATTCAAACTTTTGTCGCGCCACTGTAGATGACCCCACTGGGCAGTATCGTCTAATAAAATGATAAGCATGCTGTCAACAGACAAGAATACAACGTTACATTCATGTTACATTCGCTTGTCTATATTGACTTTGGCTATATATCAATTAGGGATGATTCAGGAGTAGAGCAAAGTATATCCACAGAGTGAGGGGAAGACGAACTATATATAACACCTCATGGGCTTCATCTGAACATCAACCACGAGTCAGCCACAATGCGTCTAGCCTACTCTCCTATCCTTGCAGCATTTGGGACCATCCCCGGCCATGCGTTCCCTCATCAATCCGGCCAGGATGATCTCCGTTTTGGCTCCCCCGAGTCCGTAGGCCTTCTGTCCGCCCCCCTCCGCCAACTGGAAACCAACATCACCGGCTATCAACAACCAGCCAACTATGGAGCATTCACGCACAATGAGACACACCCAGTCGAGCCATCGTCTGCGGTGATCGTGGGTCATGATCGCACCATTGTCTCACTTTTCGCCAGCGGAAAGATATTGTTGTATGCCGACGCCAATGGCACCGAATTGCCTCCATCGCAGCAACTGCCTGCGCGAACAGACACCATTTATGATATGGCCAGTCTGACCAAACTATTTACCACAGTTGCAGCCCTGCGAGAGCTGGATACTGGTAGACTCTCCTTGAACAGAACAGTCGCGTCCTACATGCCATCATTCGCAGCAAATGGGAAAGAGAACATCACCATCCTGATGCTTCTGACGCATACTTCTGGCTTTGCTCCAGATCCAGAGCCTCCATTGTATAATCCTGTGTATAAGACAGTCGAAGAGAGGACTGCAGCGATACTGTATCAGTCTCTGCGCAACAATCCCGGCTCCACCTACCTCTATTCAGACCTCAACTTCATGTCTCTCGGTCTACTTCTGGAGCACATCACCCACAAAAAACTGGATGAATTGATTCGGGACTTCACCAATCCTCTCGGCATGCATGACACCTTCTTCAACCGGGGAAACATCGAAGGCCCGGCATTCCCCTTCTACCCCCGCATGGCAGCCGAGGAATTCCAGATTGAGGTCCTGGGACCAATGGAGCCGCAGCGCCCACAGCCAGTTCGCGGGGCGGTCCACGACGAGAATGCCTGGGCTCTGGATGGCGTGTCCGGACATGCAGGCCTCTTCTCAACGGTCGAGGATACGGCAATCTTTTGTCAGATGATTCTGAACAACGGCACGTACGGAGGCCATCGAGTATTGTCGCCAGAGGTCGTAGATCTCATCTTTCACAATTTCAACGCGAGATTCCCCGGCGATGAGCACGGATTGGGATTTGAGCTGAATCAGTACTACACCGCGGGACCAATGGCCAGTCTTCAGAC